TTTGCGGTCTTGGCTTTCCTTTTGATTCGTAGAGTAAATTGTACTGATAATAATCGCTAAGATCTGGATACAACATTTTATGGAAGGGAAAGAAACATAGACAATCAGACAATCAGACTGTCTGTAAACAACAGTTTAGACTGATTATTCTAACCAATTTATTTGACTGGGCTGAATAGCAGGTCATCATCAAAACCCATTGTTATTATCCCCCTGATCATCACCCTAAGGGTATCAAAAGATGGTCCAGGTCACACTACCCCACTAGAGAAACATCCAATGTTGGGTATCTTTACTCCTTTGAGTTGTGTGGATTATATCTGGCACAGTAAACCATCCTGAAGTGCTGCCAGACAATCTTTTAGCTATCTTCTTACGAGTCAGGAAGAGACAAAGGAATGACCCCTAGTCAGCACCCTGTAAATGGCCCTGAGTTACGAGCTGATGTCACCCTCGCAGCCAGCCAGCACACAGATGGCCTTCTCCTTGGACACACTTGACGCTGTCAATTTCTCTCTTGCTCGCAGTATCTCTCTCTCTCTCACTTTTTAAACAACCAACATGAGACCGGTGGAATTTTCCAGATGACAAGGAGTGAGATCTTTGTCATGCATCTTTTGGCCTTCAAATGTAGAGCCGGTTATTGGAAGTCAGGAGGGGGAAAGTGAATGAAAGACAGAGCTGAGCTGGTCTGCATTAAAAGGCTGAATCCATACATTACCAAACGGTACATGTCACTCAGAATTGTGATACTGACAATGAACCAATGTAAAAGGGAATTTTAACATGAAGGGCAACAATAACAACTTGATCTATAAAACTTTAAGGGTGGTCTCTACGGGTTTAACTGGCTCTTATCTTCGAGAATAAAATGGAACTTTTGTCATGCACCCATTGCGCTTCTAAATCTACTCCCCGGTCTGTAAACGTTTAAAGTTGAAAAATGAAATGGACGGATAAATTGAACACGGGGCCAGGTTCAGGGCCACTTAAGAGCGATCTCGGACAGCATTTCGAAATGGTTCAGTCGCTCGTTGGAGGAGAGTTGAGAGGGAGAGCGCTGTAATATATGGAGAGAGACATATAGAGACCTCAAGGTGAGCGATAAGTGTGTCCACGTGTTTGGCAAACCGAGAACCAAACCAAACAATCAGACAGTGGAGAGGTTTGCACGTCAGACAGGAGTACAGACATACTGTAAGAAAGCCCAGAGAGCCGTTAGCACGTTCAGAGAGAACAGATGGGGAGGCTGGAGGAGAGCCAGGTATCAATGGAATTGAGCTAGGGGGTAAGAAGGGAGGAGGCAATTACTGTAGACTAGGTTGACAACTATGGATGTTAAATAGTTGATCTAACCCCAGTATCAGATTAATAATAGATTTAAACTGATGGTACTTTAAACATCAGTTTCATAGCCGAGGAATGCATCCACGAGAGCAACAGAAAGGAAAGGGATTATTTATATCTTGCAAATGTTAGGCGTAAATGGACACGGTTAAGCAATGCGCGCCGCAGCCCCTCGCCAACACCAATATTGTTCCAGCCGACGGAGCTCCCGGGCTGGAAAGGGAGAGAAAGAAAGGGACCCCCTCCTCAATCACCACCTCCATCCTCCGCTCGGTAACAGCGGGGTCTCCACGGTATCCTTGAATTAGGTTGTAGTTTATGGCCCCGGGGCGCAGGCGGTCCGGCGCACACAGGGCCAGGATCCAAGCTTGATCCGCCTCAATCTCTCTTGACCCAGCCATCACCACTCCGCTGGGCCACATCTGCTACTGAATGTGACCGCTCCAATCAGTCCCTCCCCATCTATCTCTCTGTCAGTCCATCCATAATCCTTTTTCACTTTGCTAAATCTCCTTTTTTTGTCTTTTTCCTTCATTCCTTTCACTCAACTGGATCCAACATTCTTCTATAATCAAGGTTGTTGTTTTTTTTTTAATACCGAAAAAAATGAATGAACATAGAGTGAACTGTTATCTTTTCCCCAGTTATTACTGTAGTCCTGAGAGGGCCATGTCAAGGGACTTCCTACTACTGCTGCTCCAAATACAACTAATCCTTACAGTATGTATGAGGTTAGCTCAAAAGGAGACTTATGTTCTTTTGGTATGGGCTGCAACAAACGACATTTTACACCTGCCACCTTGTGTGCATATAGAGAGGATGGGAGGGAGGTTAGAAATCCAATAACTCATAAGAGGAACTGGGCCATTAAAATGAAATAGGAAGGGAACAGTACAGCACTGTCTGTCTTTAACTTTTTAGCAGGCTATTTTTGGCCATCCTGCACTATGTATGCCAGTATGTGGTTGAACATAACCAGGAAATGACAACATCCATAATTCACCCGAGGGCTTAAAACCTGAAGCATAAAACGAGCCTAATGCTAAGTTTAGAGGTGGTCAGCTTAGCTCTGTTGGCTATTTTGGAGCTACATATTGGAAGAGTCACATTACATTAAAGGCTCTGAGCCATGTTGAGGGAAACAAGTAGTCAAATAGATCTGTCCGTTTTTAAGTAGTAATGTACAGTAAAAAAAATATGGCCAATAAGAACTAGCTTTTGGTTCAATGGGGTCATTGTGAGACTGGTGCAGGCCTATAAAACAAAGTACAAGTGTGGTTCTGAGGGTTTGTATGTTGGGATGTGAAATGAGAGGAAGGAAACAAGCTGCATATTGCAAATGAGAACATATGTGGTCTCATTAGGCAAACATATGTGCTTTTGAACACGAAAATGTCAGCAAATACATATAAACAAAGCAAGGAAGAAAACAAGAAGGAAAGGAGAGGTGTGTAAGAAGGAGCCATGTGTGATTTGGAATCGAGAAAACACTTTCAATGATGAGTTGAGTGGTATATATATATGGATTATATCTTAGTATTGCTTAGTTAATGAAGTTGAACAAAAAAAAGGGTTGCAGAATTAATTTTCAGCTTTGAAGATTGCAATAAATTCAAATGCCAAGTAAAAAGCATTTAGTAAACTGCAGTCCAAGTGGGTCGAGTTGGCTCATAAGAACAGCAAGACCCACAGCAGATATTGGCAGAATGAACGACTTCTTTATGGCTACAGGCATGCACACGTAGTCATATTGTAATGCGCAGCCACAAAGCCAGCTGGATTAGGCTTCTGTTCACGCACTGTAGCCTACCATATACAAAACAAATTGCTGGTTGGCAACTGTTTTGTAAATCATAACTAATGTGTTTGTCATTTTGAGACTGCATATCAGGGAATATCTTACAGGTGCAAGGAGAGTCCTGCCAACAAGTCTGTCGATTTGGGCTTCAAATTAAGTACTTTTTCTTATGTGAGAAAATTTCAACTTTAACTGGAGGAATTTACACTGTTGAGAAACCAAAATGAGTTATTGTTAGGTAAGATTGATCAACATTCATGTCAGTTGCAGGCTTTTTCTTTTGACAGTAGTGTGTTTTGATTTGACTGTTTTATAAAATAGAAAAGTTCAGTTCAATCTTTTTACATTCAATCTATTACTGGGGGCACTATAGCTCCCAGAACAGTAGCCTCCAGTATTTCTAAACTATCATTCGAAAACCAGTGTCTGTAGGCCATACATAACTGTTTCTGCTGCTGTCATGTTGCTATAAGACATGGTTTATGTCTTCTGTCTTCATTACGAAGCCATCAAAAATCTTTGATTTATAAGGGCAATTAAGCTATACTCCCCCCCTTTCCTGATCTCCTACATCCTGGCTTGTTCCAGCATATATCTGCTAAGTACTCCCGCTGATGTTTTTTTTCCTAACATACCTGCACACACTGGCCAAGTTTGGGGTCACTGTAGAGACTTGTAAATACTGTAAATAAGATCTGTTATTACATCTTAAAGTCTAGCATCAGTTCATTAATCCGTCATTAGGCACTTTGATATGTGGCTGAGCTGAATGGGTAGGATGCTTGGATGTATACAAATAACTGGATATAGCATTGGAGGGCCCCGTTCAATCCTATTGGAGTTGCTCAGTGGTGCATTAAGCCAAAGTGGCTTGAGTCTCAAGGGCAAAAGTACCTGTATTCGGGCCCATAGAGCGCGTGCGATTGCTTTTCCTTAACGGTACGTCCACACGGCGGCGTGCGTTGAAGCTTGCAGGTGGGCGTGTCTGAAACTCGACCAACAACCAATCACATGAATCTCCCGCCCCGGAAGAACAAGCACGCGGTTTGATTGGCTAGAGCTTATATTGGCATATGATTCGATTGGCTGACGCTTCCGTCGAAGCTTCAAAAGTTGAACATTGCTCAACTTTTGCAGAGAGCAACGCTCCAACAATGCAGTTCGGCGAAGCGTGACGCCACCTCATTCAAAGTGAACGGGCAGAAGCTTCAACGCACGCTGCCGTGTGGACAGGCCGTAAGACTTGCCTCCAATCTGGAGCTTCACGGCCGTTCACGCCTCAGTCAAATGAATGGAGTGGATGGATTTAGCTTTAGCACATCATACAACTTTGAGGAAGTAATGTTTAAAAAAGTGCTAAGGCTGTGAAGTTGATTGACCTAATGCTGATTTAAAAATCAAGTCTCTTTCCCACTGTAATTTAAATGAAATTACATAAGGAACACGGAAGTAGTATTACTGCCGTTTGGCCACTACGAAAATGTGCTTCAATGCCCTGCGCACTTCTTGTGGGCTTGGTAGGATGGTAGCCCCTGCATGACTAACACCACATCGAGACATGGAGACACAGAGGGGGGCTGAGGAAGGAGGGTCTGGCAAGAGACTGGGAGATACGGAGAAAGCAAAAAAAGGAGCAGACAGGAAAATAAGAAGGAAGGTAAATCCAGACACAACACTTCCTCTGATGACAGGTGTGAAGCAACTGTACCACAGACATCCAGAGATGAGTCTTGAGAAACATCCCTACCTTTCACTGTTTGTTAGTTACTACCAGCTACTCTGCAATACCTCTGTCATACCCATTAATATGTTGCGATGTGCTGTCACTATCTACTTTGTAAGGGCCTACCAGAGCTTATAATATATGCTTACATGATCGTCGGCTGGGGGTCTTCTGCAGTGGGAGAGTCGCAACAGGTCGCTTCAGTGCAAATCTCCTGGAAGAAGAGAGAGGAGGAGAAAGAAAGAAAGGAAGAAGGCACAATAAAACCATCAGTTTTCATGACCACATTGGGAATAATAAACACTCCCTGCTATGCTACAATATCCACCATTCGGTCAGCTGAGACTTGAAAAGGAGAGTGAAAGAGTGAGAAAAAACACACTTGCTGCCGACAAAACTGCACGGTTAAATGTTTATGAATGTTCTTTTTCTTCATTTGCTCTCCTCCCTTCCCCTTTTTCAAAGCTCTTAGACGGTGCCAAGAAACTGCCCCGGCCTCCTGAGCTCTGTGTTCGTCCGAACGCACACTGATGTGTGATTTTCCATCCACTTGCCATCCAAAGTGGATCGGTACCAGCACTATCATTTTCTGTCATTACTCATTTCGGTCCAGACATTGTGCGGAAATCCAGACTATTTTGGCAGTATGAAGCAAGAACAGAAATAAGCGAAAATAAGGGGAGTGAAAGAGAAAGAGGGTGAAAGCTGTGTGACTATGACAGAAGTAAAGACGGTGGGTTCAGCCGTGTTAAGAGAGAATGGTTGACAAGACATGCTGATGGAGCTTGTTGTTTCCTACCTCTCCTGGAACTGTTTGGACGGAATTAAGCCGGCACGAGGATTGTCTTCTCCTTCGTGTTTGGCCTGCCACCAGGTTGCATCATCTTGGCTCATGACCTGTAGGATGTCGCCCATCTTGAACGCCAGTCCAGCCTCCTTACATGGGATGGCTCTGTCCTGCTTAGGCTCGTAGTCAAAGAGTGCCTTCATAAACACCTGGACATACAGCAGAGAAGGGGGGGGGAGGGGGGGACAAAACAAAGAGCTGGATTGAGGGCAGAACAGGAAAAATCAGCAGTTCACTGTAAATGACTTTTCTCTCCATTGCGTAGAGTGTGAATACTCAAGGAAAGTCATCACGGCGAACACAGAAGGTGCTTCACCAACGCTCAGGGGGATTATTTTAGAAAGGTCATTGCAATCAGAAGTTGAAACCTGCGACTGCTGGCCAAGTTAGTTTCTCCATGTGGTTCAATCAACACTGAGGATGCAGTAAGCCCTGTCAACATCTTCCAAGTGTGGCAAAACATAACATTTATTCCAGGCTCCAGTTGGAAGGGCATTGTTCCACACGTTCTTCTAAGTCTAAACACAAACTAATATATTTCCACACTAAGGGAACAAAAGTACTTTTCTTTCTTTAAGGAGTTGTTCTTATTTGCTTTGTCGGCAGAGGTATACACAACTCATCAACACAAGGGAGGTTGGACCTTTAAGTGGAAAAATCGATGACATACGTTCCCTGTTGTGGCAGTTAAGCTGCAATCTAAAGCACCGTGATGCATCTTTTGCCATAATTGAGTTCTGTCATGATGAGTTAGTACCCAAAAGACACTTCAGTACAAGTGGAAATAGAGGGAAGGTAAGTGTGTGAGAGAAAACGAGGAACAGGGAAGGAGAGATTATAGTTTTTATGTCCTATTGATTTAAAGAGTGCTTTTTGCCACGTATTAAAACTATCTTTCAGACAGAGAGGTTTTGTTTGGTTCTTAACAGCCTGTGTTGAAACCCTCCAGCTGAATACTGTACACTCATACATCTACACACTAAGATCTCTACCTCTCCCTTGGCCAAGTTCATCTGGCCTGTAGATGCTCAGCCACTTACTGTAGCTTTTACACTGCCTACTGTTAGAGCAAAGGCTGTTCCTATGACTGAGTGGCTGAGGGTTTGGCAGTGGTGAACTATTTCTCAACAGGCTCAACCATTTCAGGATTATAAATGTAAGAAGTAGCCGACCATGTCCTGTAAACATCTGTAACACAAGAAGCCTTACCTTTGTTGTGAATAATGAAAAACTGCCTTTAAAAAGGTTGAGTGGATGAACGTTTGATAAATGTTGTATCAACACGCCACTGGGTGAGAATTATGGCATGGTTGAAGTAACAGTTAAACCAGCCTCAAATGGATGGCTGAAAGCTACTGTCTACGAGGGCAGCATTCCAAATAGAGATAATCTTGTCCTACAGTGAATGTAGCTGGGTATCAGCAGTGTTACAATGGTAACCTCAAAAACGATGGCCAAAAAAACTGCAGGACTTAATGCTACAGGTTACAGTTATGATTATGTGGTCAGAATATAAACAGCTTTTATCATACTAGTCAGCAAAACGTTATTATTTGTGTTGTATTACAAACAATTTGAACCATTTTAAGGAGTCTGCTCTAAAAGGCTGTGTGGTTAGATTGTTGTTGGAAAGAAGCAGCCTGTGGTTCACGAGCTGGTAGGATCAGAAAACAGAATGTTGGCTTAAGTGTATATAAGTGATGCTGCATGTCCATCTCTTTAAATTAAGGAAAATGTTACACTCGGTATCCTTTTACAATAGTTTATTGTTTTCTTAGCTCAACCCATTCAAGCCCCTATTGTGTCACTTTATGTCTCTACAACCTCTGCTGCAACCTCAAAAACAGTTTGAACAAGGCCTTTGACTCAAGGTGGAAGAATGGTTTTTTTTAAGTCTCTGCTCTCCGTGTCATCTGGTAAAAAAACAGACACTTTGAGTTTCACGACTGAAGCAAAACCTTGGCTTATTTAAGTCGCAAGATTGTTACTACGGATCTGTAAGGTTTGTATGGTTTAAAGATGTATTATCTAGGTATCCAAAACACAGGTTTTGTTTAGATTCATTAAAGTAAAGCATCCCAAATGTTTTAATGGTAACGAAACTTAAATAGCTTTTCTGCAAGTTTTGATACATTTCAATAACCTGCCCTAGTTCTACAATCACATTACCATGTGTACAGCCCTTCTCCCCCCTTGTCCGTATATCATTGCCTCCCTGTGGCTCAAAAGCAATGTTCTGTATCCAATAAAAAAGTATTCTGAGAAGCTCTTAATGTCTTTTGAACCGATGAGTGTAACCCAAAGAACATAATGATTGCGCCTTACCTTTGGCTCCTTGCTTGGCGCCTCTTCCTTGATTGCAGGGACAAGTTTAAAGGTGATGGCTCCTTGTGACTGGGCCTGAACATTGGGAAAGATAAGATAGATACACCAGTTTAGGTACAAATGAAGGGGGCGGGAACCATTTATCTGTTTCACACAGCACCTAATTCAGTGAAAGTCACACAATGCGAACCACTGTATGATTTTTCAACAATGGAAGGGTTATAAGGATTGGATGACTGTACTTGGCAGGATAGGGAGCGTGTGTAGGGGTAAGAGGAGGAGTGTTGAAAGCTATCATCAGCTCCGGAGGCCTTTGTGTCTGTCTGAGTGGGCCTCCAGAGTTTAAGAGACTGTCTTTCCTCTCCAGTTGTCCCCCCTGGCAGAGCTCAGGCCCATGGCGGAGCTTGTTTGAGGCGTGCGGCGGAGGCTGCTTGGAGAAACTACTAAGCATCAATCTCTTCCAGGGGGACCGCGTGGCTCTATGCATGCTGTCTAAAGACTTACAGAGAAAAGCCAGTGTTTGGTTTTCTGCACTGCGATGGGAGGCACGTGGTCCTAAGTGAGTTAGGGGAGGTTTTTTGCCATCACAAACAAGGATTGTTATGTTGGCCAAGGGACTGGAGCTTAAACACAGGAGAAAACTCTTGGACAGCACACACAAAAAACAGAGAGAGGGCAGACGAGGCTTACCAGAATACGGATGATTTCCTCCGGTTTCTTGTCATCCACAGGGATTCCGTTGACCTCCTTCAGTTCATCCCCAACATGAATCAATCCTGCCAAACACACACAATATTCTATTATTCTGATGTCCTAATACAGGTAAGTTACAGTTTAAAAAGTCCAGTTCTAATAAAGCCTAGGGATGTGTACAGCACACTACATTACTGTTTATCGTAGTGGTGGTATTAGAGTTTGGAAGGTAATCAAAACTTTATTGTCGACACATGTAGAGTTGTGCCTATGGCTACACTGTGGCAGAGCTGAACAACAGACTGGACACTATGAACACATTTTTGAATGGAAACCATTTGCAAAACAACTGAAGCATTATACTTCATGTTTATAAGAAAAAAAGTGAATAAGTAAAAGTGATGACACAGAACTTGTGGATTCAGGTGCAGTGATAATTCCTGAATACATCCCTGTTACGTCAGACTTCATTCCCCACTACATATTCACGTACAAATGTTGAGACGAAAATGTATAAAAACATGTTTGAAAAAGAGGAAAAACTCACCACTTCTGTCGGCTGCCCCTCCTCTCATGATCCGGGCCACCAGGATGGCTCCTGTGTGATCGTCACGCATTATGGTTGCACCCTGCAGAGCAAAAACACAGAATGGAGAACATTTGGATGAGCTGCAAGTACTTTTGTTAATAGATGCATCGTCAAAATGATGAGATTATTGCCCAAAATGACAATAAGAAGAAGTATTGGAAATTCAGTCAACACATAACCCTTTTTATAAAAAAATGATGTGGAGGTTTTTTTGTGATGTTTTTACCTCCCATGTAACTAATAGTGAGAACATGCCAAGTATGGCAAGACATAAAGACATGGCATTTTCTCTTTCTTGCTATGATATACCGTAGATACTTTTTGTAACTGGTTGCTGGAGTAAGGCACAGTGAGAGATCAATTTCATGTGTAAACCAATGGAAAAAAGCTCAAAGATTTAAATAAATAGTCCCCCAATAGCATCTTGAAGCAAGTTTGCATTCATTTCTCCAAAGAAACAAATAGATTAAACTAATTACTGAACATAAGCATGCCAAGTAAAAGCATCAAACTATTTTACGTAGCTTATGGCTTGGAAAGAGAGGGGGAAGCTTAGCAGGTACGAGGCAGACGACTCAAAAGACACACCCAAACACCCAATCCTTCCCTGTCCTCCTTTATGGGCTTAGTGCTCAGCCAGAAAGACACACGAAGAAGAGGATAGTGTTTCAACTTCCTCATTGCTATGCTAAACAAAGTGTAGCATTGATGCATTTACCAGTTAACCAAAATAGGCTCGGTAGGTCTAACGGGTGCCGACCTGTCACCCCACGATCACAGCTTGTCTGGCTGAGATTTAGAATGGAATAGGATAGCAAACTGCAACTGAACGTGTGGCGTCATTCTCGCTTGCGACCCGAAACCAGACAAATGCGCCGTCTAGTCGGCACATAGTTTGTTGGAGCCGCAACTCATCGTCCACTAGCCGTGCCATATTTCAGCTGTCCTAACCCACTGTCGCCCAGGTGGACCGCTGGAGAGTAACAAAAGCTAGCTGGTCAGGTTTGTGTCACTTTCCTGTTTGCCTTCCTCCGACAGGCCCAAAGTAGTTCTGGCTACTACCATGGATGGGAATCCCAGGAAGAGATATTAAGAAAAACAGATCCTCAAAGACCAAAGGAGCCTCTGGTTTGTGCCACTTCGCCGATGCCATTAGCTTGTCATCTTGGTTGTTTTCACGACCTGTTCACACGTAATGGTTTTCCTCCTAGATAATGGTTTCCTCAAGGCTTTTTGGGGTGTGGAGATTGGAAAGGACATCAGGATAAGACAGTGGTAGGGTTTGCAGAGAGTCGCGCACCTAATAGAATAATGGGGCTAATTAGAGAAACCCGAGAGTTTGCAGTAGGAGAAAAATCGGTGGAGCAGGTCAGTGAGAGGGGAAGGCAATGCCAAACCCTGGTGTCAGGGTCACGTATAACCTCTCAGTGTGACTTTTTAAAGCAGCTGTTTGTGAAGCAATGGCCCTCAGACAGACAGACAGACAATTATTTTTGTGTGTGCGTCTGAAAGAATAGAGCGCTGCGGGAAAAGAGATGGACTGTGACAGACAACAGGGTGAGATGGGGAGTCTGCAGGTAATCTCACAGGAGCATTCAGACATGTGGTCATTAACTTTGCTTTCTGAATCTCCTTTTTGGAGGCTGGCTGATGGCCAGTGGTATGATGGATGTTTTTATTGTGTCCCCAGGGCTCCCTGGTGGCTGGTGGCAGTCTAAAGGCTAACTAAACAGCGCAGAGAGAGCCTTGGACTCTGAGTTTGTTACGACAAAAGGCTTGTCTGCATAGACTCCAGAGACATGCTCTCCATCGCATGCCTGTGCCTATCTATGGAATCTGCTCACACATGGTGTGTTGATATAAATCTTGTTTTGACACATATGGCTTAAATCATATGTTGAAAGGCTGATGCCATTTAGAAACACCACTTTTACGACTTTTATTGCAAGTGGCAATGGTGATTATAGAGCAACACTTTTAACGTTCAAACGCGAAAGCGTGGGGTCGTGAACCCAGATCTCCGGGAAGCCATTTTATTCCCATTCAAACCACCATGCTTTATGTGTTTTATACACCAGTAGAGAAACAAACAACTTTGCCCATGCGTGTTTTCCATTTACACCGCACTGACTCTCTACGAGGAGTTATTTGAAGCAGCAGTTATTTAAAAGGTCTTCATTCTTTCGTGACTCTCATCTGACCCACTGCCCTTCAAAGTGATGGGCCTACAACGGGATGCCAAGGCAGCAGCAAGGGAGAAAGAGATTCATGGAGGGAGGGGGAGCCTCCCTATATAATCTGGCCAACCCCAGTCTGAACTCAGCTCTGGTACGGTAGCCAAATGAGCTCTGTCCGATAAGGAAAGCTAAGAGAGGCCAAAACGCTCCAGTGGCAACACGAGCGAGCCAGACTGAAGGGTAAGTGGAAGAGCAGAAAGAGTCTGGACTGTTGACTGGGAGGGAAGCAAAGGAGGCAGACAGTGGGGGTCGGAGTTGAGCGTAAGACTGTTTTTGTATAAGTGATTTAGTAAGTGAATGAATAAGAGGTAGATATAAATTGAAGGGATATGATAAGAAATGGACAGTAAGAAATGAAGAATGCAAGAGATGTGCTAAGATGTCCAATGCAAAAACTCAAATGAGTCTTTACCGGACTGTCATGAAATGATTAAGAGTAAAATTAAAGACTTTGTAAAAACAAAAATGAGTATTTTTGAAGTATTGCAGTACTTAGATTAACTTAATCTCTGCTTCTCTAGGCGACAACTAGCACATTTTATCCCTGGACGAATGTAGCTTACAGTCGTTTTTTGTTGCAGTGTCCTAAATAAAATGCTATATTCTTAGTTCTCTTCTTCTGTTTCAAATCTGCCTCCTGCATTTTAACCCAGTATTAAAGGTCACCTATTTGAATATTTTTCAACAGTATATTATAGATTTTAGATATATACAAAACATGTCTCTGAAGTGTTTGGTGGGAAATACCAAACAGATCATGCATTGTAGCACACCGTATACCCCTCTGTTTCATTCCTAAAGTGCTGATTCTGTATCTGTAGCTTTAAATGCAAATGAACCGCCACTCCCCGACCCCTAAGCAAAAGTGTATGGTTTGAAAAAAAGGTGGTGCTCTATGAGAAGATTCAGGTGATAAGGTGAGCGGTTGTAACCCTGGTTGGTTATTGGCTAATCGTCGCACAACCCCAACACATTCCTAAATATGTGGCCAAAATCTGATGAGCTAATTTTCACACAAGTTTTTATATAAATGGATCAGAAGAACAAAAAGGATGAGTTTTTTCTCCTGAAACTTTAAGAATCTTTTAACACAGAGGAGCTACATATTTATGTGTAAAGACATGAAAAAGTGGATTTTGCATAATAAGTGACCTTTAAAGCAAACAGGTTTGAGATCAAGTGAAGTCAGGCAACCTCATTGAAGGCACTCAAAATATGGAGGTAGTAAGTTAAAGATGTCAGAAAGTATCCAAAGTTCAAATCGACAGCAAACTGTTGAAATAATCACACCTCACATTTTCACGTTTTTCTATGGCCATTCCCAAGTTTTCCCAATTCTTGATTATTTCGAGAGTGCCAAACTTCCCCCTCATTAGAATCTATAGTCAGCTTTCATATTCTCAATCCTCCAGGGGTCCATCAGCCTCTCCTGGAGGCCTGACGAATTGGAAGCAGTGAAGGCAGCTGGAACAAGCAGGGCAAATCCAACATCATGAACTCAGCATCACCTCCCCCTGTGCCTTGATACCCTATGGGTGCTATCATCAGAATCCAGCCATGCATGGCCACTAATGAGGAGTCCTTGCTCTGTTAAACAAATACATAAACAGTCAGGCTAGAAGCTAACTAAGCTCCATGAGGCGTGTGTGTGGTGGGGACGGAGGTACATCAGGAAGAAACAAGGTAGGTAAAGACCCTCAAGCACCTAGATGGGCTCCCTGGTGTAGCAGCTAAGCATTAGCACAAACTGATGGCAAGGCTTACACCGAGCCTTCAGCGCCTACTGGCACATGGAAGCCATTTCAGACTTTTCCTTGCGCTTGGAAACAGCGCAGGAAGTCAGAAGGGGAATGTCTACGTCTGTCAAAGCACATACACGCATGAGTGACAGCATGTGTAGGTGTGTTTTTGTGTGCATGCAAGCGTGCCTGCGTGTGTGTTTCTATGAGAGCTTCTACCTGAAGTCAGGCCAAACTGGCCCAAGAGAAACCTCAAAAGACTGGATGATTGATGCTGGACAGCCACTAAGCCTGATGAATGGGCTATGCTATGTTAGCAATTAAAGACAGGGCGCCACTTAACCATCAAGTGGCTCAACTGCAATATTTGCAAAAGAAAAAGATAGAACTGCGCACACACAAGCCGGTAAGCTTGTTAGGGACTGATTTCATCTTCCTGTTGTCAACCATTGCTCCAGTTTGCACTTTAGATGAGTGTAAAAATAGTACTTCCAGTATTGAAACATTGTAGGGCAGAAGGAACAGAAACAGTCAAAAATAGAGATGAGAGGGGGGTCATCGTGGACTTAGGAGGGCCTCCTAGCTGTGGTCAATTAGTCATCAGTAAGGCAATCCGAAGCCTCCACTCCTAACGTGATCAGCTCCATATGCAGCCGCTGCTCCCAGCTCTTTTCCTCAATTTCTAACACATAAATGCCTCTGATTGTTATTGTTCGGCCGGCCAAAACGCAAAGGCTTAGTCTCTGCTGTGTGATGAGGAGAACTGGAGCGACGCTTGTCCGTATCCAGCCATCGCCCCTCCCAGCGCATGCACTGGAGCGCACATACAGACATCGCAGCCACATTAAGTATGTGATGACAAATGGCTCACACCTCATACAGAGCAGGAAAAAAAACGAGAGAATAGGGAATCAAATATGGATGTATGAGAGTGTGTTTATTAGAGAGAATGGAATGGAGGCAAGCTTGTCCAGGGAACTGTCAGCGCACAGTAGTGCCATGAAACTTCAGCAGATAAGAGGAGTAAGACAAGCTGAATGTTGGATGCGTCATCATGTTAGCTT